TTGCTCCAGGTCCTGGGGTGGCTCATCTCTTGTGTGTGGTGTCCTTTCTGCTTTTTGGTTCTTGGAGACATGTCCCATTGCCACCCCCCTTTGAGAGTCAGGGCCTCTTCTTGCTCATCTCCACCGCCTCTGTGAATTTACCCCCCAGGCTTTCTATAGAGTAGATGAAGGCTACAGTTTGCCGGAATGAATTGCACTTGAAGCATAAAATGGCTGAAGAAACAAAACCCTCCAGCAGGTGTGGGAGGCAGCCAATACACAGCATGGAGGGTGGGCCCAGAGAAGAGCTTATTAAATAATTCCCCGATACCCTGTGGCAATCAGAACACCTTGGACCAAGCCTCTCCAGCTTCTGGATTGTCCACTGCTAGAACAGCAAAGATACTTGGGGCCCATGGGTCTCTAGAGATAGTGTCTATAAGCTAGCCCTATGTTGCATTCAAAGGCAGGATGGAAGACAGCAGGGCTGGAAATCCTTTGTTTCCTCTTGGCTTAGCTGTGTGATCTCAGGCAATTTCTGAGCAGTCTAATATTTACTTTCTTCATCTGTAAAGCAAAGACACCTCCCAGGGTTGATGTGAGGATTAAACGTGATCTTATGTATCATGCACAGGTTATAATGCTTAACCCAGAGGAAGTGCTAATGCATTTTCCAAACAGAAGCAAGGCTGGGATTCCCCTTCGCTATCTGCATAGACTTCGGGAGCAGAAACCATGTGCTGGATCATTGGGTAAATGTCTCCAGGACTGTGTCTTCTCTAATTATTGAGCTACTTCAATTTCAAAGGCAGTCAAGGTCCACCAAGATCTGGGGAGCCTTTGGGGGTCCAGGAAACCTGAGTGCGTAGGCAGGTCTCCAGCGTTCCCAACACAGCACTCGATTCCAACACAGAAATTCCGAGCACAACCTCAGCAGAAAAGGAGGCTAAAACTTTTGACTTCTTCCAAACTGCGTTTATCCAGATTTGACAGCACCAGACCATGCAAATGGAGGTGATTAGGAAACAGAGAAAAATGCAACTGTAAGGCATTCATAATTAACGTGAAATTCATGTTGCACGAGAATGTACACACGATGGCTCACACAAGAAGTAATTACAGGATGACACAAACAGGCTGGATTTTGAGAAGCAGCCAAGAATCATGCTAGATGGAAATGAGTGGGCACCCTGCTACCCATTTCCACTGGGGCAGCCATTGGGAAAGATCAATCAGTCACAAAAAGTGGATGACATTCTCCTACATGTTATGATTTGGCTGAAGCTTGAGAAAAGGGTGCTTCATGAAATAGATTGGACACAAAAGGATAAATAGTATATACCCGCTTATCTAAAATATCAGAGTAGGCAAATTCATTGAGACAGAAAGAGGTCGCCAGAAGAAGAAGGCTGCAGGAAATGGGAGTTGTTAGTAGGTTTCTGTGAGGAGGGATGCAGAAGTTTGGAAAATAGGTAGCAGTGACAGTTGTACAAGATTGTCCCTGGACCCAATGCCACTGAACGGCACCCTTAGAAATGGTTACACTGGCAAATGTTATGTTGTATATTTTACCACGATGTTTACAAAGAAGGAAAAGACCAATGCCATGCAAAACGAAGCTGTGCTCTCATTCCTCACGAGTCACATCAGCACAAACACTATGTAGCTAAGACAGGCTGGATGAACAATCTGGAGACGAAAACAACAGGACTGATAGTGCCAGGGGACAAGGGAGAAGAGGAGGTGGGAGAAAAGAGGGGTAGGGGGGAGGTGTCAACCAACCCAGGGACAAGGGAACAAGTGCACTAAAATCAATGGAGAGAAGGGCATAGGATGCCTAGTGGGGCTTAATCAAGGGCAATGTAACAGTGAGAAATTACTGAAACCCACATGAAGGCCGAACATGATACTGGGACAAGAGGAAAGTAAAAGGAAGCAGAGGAAAGAACTAGGAGGCAACGGATGTTTATAGAGGTCTAAATACAGGCATGTACATATGTAAATATATAAATATAATGATAGGGGAATAGATCTATGTACTTAAATTTATATGTTAAGTATTAAGGTAGCAGATGGACATTGGACCTCGACTCAGGTACTCCTTCAACACAAGAACACTTTGTTCTAATAACCTGGCATTCTGTGATGCCCCCCCTCCTGACACGCTCGCCGAGGACAAAGTGGGTGCATAAGCAAATGTGGTGAAGAAAGCTGATGGTGCCTGACTATCAAAAGATACGGCATCTGGGGTCTTAAAGGTTTTAAGATAAACAAGCGGCCATCTAGCTGAGAAGCAACAAAGCCCACATGGAAGAAGCACACCAGCCTGTGCGATCATGAGATGTCAATGGGATCAGGTATCAGGCATCAAAGACCCAGAACAAAAAAACATATCAATGTGAATGATAGGGGGTATGGAGTGGAGACCCAAAGCCCATCTACAGACAATTGGACATCCCTTTACAGAAGGGTCACAAGGAAGAGACAAGCCAGTCAGGGTGCAGTATAGCACTGATGAAACATACAACTTTCCTCCCGCCCCACCCCCTCCACTATCAGGACCTCAATTCTACCTTATAAATCTGACTAGACCAGAACATGCACACTGCTACAGACAAGAGCAGAAAACACAGGGAATCCAGGACAGATAACCCCTCTCAATAATGAGAGTAGCGATACCAGGAGGGTAAGGAGAGGGTGGGCAGAGAAAGGGGGAATCCACCACAGGGATTGACATATAACCCCCTCCCAACAGACGGACAACAGAAAAGTGGGTAAAGGGAGACAGCGGATGATGTAAGATATAAAAATAATAATTTATAATTTATCGAGGGTTTATGATAGAGGGAGGATGGGGGAGGGAGGGGAAAATGAGGAGCTCATATAAAGAGCTCAAGAGGAAAGAAAATGTTTTGAAAATGATGATGGCTAACATATGCTTGGCACAATGGATGAATGGATGGATTGTGATAAGAGTTGTAACAGCCCCCAATAAAAGCATTTAATGAAAAATAACATAACCCATGAGCTAACATTGTACCTACAAAATAAAGCATGCCCCTTTTGAGACAAGGGGAAAAAAGACAAAAACTAAAAGTTGCTGTTATCGAGTCCATTCTGAGTTCTCGTAATGCCATAGGACAGAGTAGACCTCTCCTGTGAGTAGACAGCAGAGCTGCAGGTGGGTTCGAACTACCAACTTTGTGGTTAGTAGTCCAACACATGACTACTGCCCCACCTCCTCTGCATAAAATGAAAACTCAACCGGCAGAGAAACTCAAATTGTTTTCCCTCCAGGAACATAAAAGTACATACTTTTATGCCAGATATTTTTTAATGACTTCTGTTCATGCTTGTTAAATAGGACGTTGAAGGCCAAGGAAGAAAATGTACAAAGGGTATTAAAAGAAGACAGATTAGCCTAAAATAATGTGCGGACAATTCCTGCTCTGCTCCCCTCCTCCTGGTTTCCCAGAAGCTCACCGGAGACATCTCATGGAACCTCTTGCCCAGTGGGCAGCCTACCTTTGTAGATCAGGTTGGCTGGAGGGTGGCTGGAGGAAGACACTTTGGAAGGTATTTCTGCTTCATAGCCTGTTGGCAAGTTGTCCAAAATGGCAGTAGAGTACCTGGTGGAGCCCAGCCACAGATACACATCCACCTTTGCTTGCACCGACCAACCAGCTGGCCGTTTCCCGGGAGGCTGAGGAAAGGTTACAGGGAAGACTTCATTAGTGGGAACCTCACTCTTTGAGAAGGTCTTTCCTGGGGGCATGGTCTGGAGAGCAGTTTTCAGGGGTCCTATTAGATACCAAAGTGAGAGCAACGACCCCAATGGCCGGGTACAATGTCAGAGGAGAATTCAGGTTTAGCTGAGCCTGAGACTTTCCATGCACTGAATTGCTTAAAGCTAATTAAAAAAAAAAAAAAAAAAAAGTCTAGTTCATCTTGACTCATGGCGACCTGTGTATCTCAGACTCCAACTGGGACCTCTAGGGTTTCTGAAAGGTAGATATTATGATCAAACTCAGGTTCTGTCAACTTGGCTCCAATGCCCAGCCAGCTCATGGGGTTAGAGTAGAATTATGCTTCACAGAATTTTTAAAAATCATTTTATTGGGGGTTCTTACAGATCTTCTAACCATCCATCCATCCATCCACTGTGTCAAGCGCATGTGTATAGAGTTTTCCCATCGAGTTTTTATAGGCAACAAAATGATCAGTGTTGATCATTGTTGACATCATCTCGTGACAAGCCCCTGAGTGTCAGAGCAGACCTGTGCTCCACCGGGGTTTCAGTGGCTGATTTTTAAGAAGTAGACCACAAGACCTTCATTAGCAGCCAAGTGCATTGCCATCTGCACGACACAGGCACTCTGGGGCCTTTGGAGTGGTCGTATATACTTCAGAGAGGCTAAGCATGCATCTTGAAGTGGCAGAGCCCGGACTTGGACCCAGGAGAAAGGACTCCAAATGTAGACTCTAGAATCGGACCCCTCACAGCATGCCTCTTCCTCACCCTGAGGTGCCATCTCCCTCCCCAGAGCTTCCAACTCCAGTCACCTTTTAGTGTATTCAAAAGGACTCTAAGGCTTTCTCCATATGGCACATGCTCCACGGACATGAAGAAATCTACTGGTTTCACCCCATTCCTTCTTCTTTGACTAAACACTCCTTCAAGTACTTATTCCTCCATCTCTTCTCACGGCAGGGTTTCAATTCCCATACTAGACCTTTTCCTTTCTTCTGAAAGTGCGTTCTCTCTCTGTCTCTCTGTCTCTGTCTCTCTCTCTCTCTCTCTCTCTCTCTCTCTCTCACACACACACACACATATGCATTTGAGTTTCTGTGCTTATGTGTAGATAGGTGCATGTGGTGTGAGCATGTGTATGGAGGAGTGTCAGTGCATACTGTGTGTGTGTGTGTGTGTGTGTGTGCATGAAGTCTTAATATGTGAAAGACATGACTTCATACAGATGTGGTTCCTTTATTTCCCACTCATCCACATTTGAAGAGTTGCAGGCTTAAGACTTTGTTTCATTCAGGAGATGGACAAGGCCGTCCATTCTGAGAGTGGCCCTTCAGACATTGCCATTTCTTCAGATTTTGTTGCCTCTTCTAAATACCTCTGCCTAGTGTTTCTTAGAATTTCCTGCCAGTAATCGCCCTTCGGAACCACTCCTCCTCCAGAGAGAACCACAGAACCCCACTATGAGAGGCCACGGGAGAGGCCCTAAATCCAACACTGAGCAGGGTAGTGTGCCTGTTTGCCTTGTTGTCCAGCAAGTTCCTAAATAGATTTTTAGCAACTTATTTCAGCAACCACTTCAAGAACAACAAGGTCATCGCTGGCAGACTGAGGCCAGGAGGAGATCAGTGACTAAGACCCAGTGCCAGGCCCCTCTCCAAGGGCTCATGCCTCCACAAGTAAACTGCTTTAGAGAGAATTGTGCCCACCACCTCCTCCAGATGTATTGAAGTCCTGAGCTCTGTGCCTTAAGTGTGACTCTCAGAAAATTGGGGTGTCTTTTGTTATGTTAATGATGTCAGCAGAGTAGGGTGGGCCCTAACCTACTTCACAGCTATAAGAAGAGCAGAGCTGACCCAGGGAGCAGGGAGACAGACAAGAAGGAACCCCATGGACAGCCCAGATGTCCAGGGGCTACCATCCAGAAAGAGCCTTCCCCTTAACCTTATCCCGGATTTGAACCTGCAGCTTCTAAAACTATGAGAAAGTACATTTCCATTCTTTAAACCCACCTACTCATGGAATTTCTGTTATAATTGCATTAGGAAAATACAATGGAGACCAACTTGTGTTTACTTACTCCCATGCAAGGCCAAGTGCAGAAGAGAAAATGTTCAGGGGAAAGAGAAGACATAGCAGGGGTTTTCACCTTTTTGTAAGATTCAAATATGCAACTGGGCTTCAAACAACCCTTTGGAGTTGGCCCAGTAGGGAAGGCATCCAGGAAGAGGAAGTGTGGGGGCACAGACATGGCGGCAGGAGGCAATAGTGACAATATGAGCTTAGTGAGTGGTTGCACAGCACCAGGACAGTGCCCAGAGCTTCCAGAAGAGAAGGAGTTGCAACCAGTGAGTGTCTGAGCTGTCTGAAGGTCCTCAGAGAAGACTGGAGAGCCCTTTCAGTACGAGGAAGAACCCGGCTGTTATTTGTCTTCTTTAGGGAAGCAATGCCATTATTTATGCAGTTCAGCAAATACAGTTTACTGCACCCTTATGGTCATTTTGTTATTGATAAAGGCAAACAGATAAACCGCTAATCCTAAATTTATCCTTTCTCTACTAATCACAGTAATTAGAGCTAAAGTGTCCCCAACACACATTCATTGAAACAAATGTATTGAGAGCCTAAAGCAATTTTTTTTGTAATCACAGTAATTGTTCTGCCTTTTGTGGACATCGCCAGGACATCAGTTTCCAAAGCCAGTCGACTCTAATATGTTTTTACTCTTCTTGGATCATAATGAGATCTCCAATGGCTAGTGCCTAAGAAGCGTTTGATCAGTACCTGCTAAATGAACAGTCATTGATTTCTTTTCCCCTAATATTTATATTTAGCATGTCTTGAGCACTTACGTTGTTCCTGAGCCTGGCCTAAGGGTCATCCTTAGACACAAAATACTGAATTCCTACGTGATATTAAGGACTCACGGGCTGTCTTTAATCCTCAAATTAATTCTATAAGGTGGAAGCTTTATTGTGTGCATTTTAAAGATGAAGAAACAGAGGTGCAGAGAGGTTATCCAAGGTCACAGACCCAAGTCCAAGGCTCAACCCAGTTCTACCTGGATGCAGAGACTTTCATCCAAGCCAGTGCTTCTGACACACAAACATCCGTGCCTATGGATTGCCTGGACATCGGGTTAAAGCATCCGCAGCCCTGAGGTGGCGTTTGAGAGTCTATATTTCCCTCTGTTGATGCTGATCCTGTGCTCTACAAACCACAGTTTCGAGTATTTAAGCAACAAGACTTAAAGTTGTGAGGACTAGGTTATTTGCTGCTTTGACTTTTTGTTGATATCATCCTGAGTTTTCAGTAACCCATGCTGACATCAAGGAGGGACAGAGGATGCGACAACTACACAAGGTCATAGAGGGGGGCAGGATGGAGGCAGGTTGGAGTCACCCAAGATTATCAAGCCCTCTCCTAAGAGCTTTCAAAAAGCATCCCATGTTTTGCTTCACACATGCCTTTCTTACCTCCTCCTTTCCCCTACACGCTCCTTTCTTTCTCATGTGCCTTTGAAACCTGACCAAGCCTAGAATGTTCTCTCCTGCCAAGAATAGTGTGTGTGTGTGTGTGTGTGTGAAGCAGGGCGGTAGCCAGAGAAAAATATTAAAAGAATGCTAAAGTGCATCAAAACAATGATCATCAATGTATAAAAAGTATATGTGACAGAATGTTGACATCTTAGTGTCTCCACCTACCCACTCACTCCCGCCCCACCCCCCACAAGGGTCCTGGTCCAAACTTCACAGGAAGAGGTGATCTTGACAAGTCAGAGGGAGGAGAGAACTGATCACTCACATCCGCTGTGTTAGAGGCAGTCCAGCAACACCAGTATGAGAAAGGCTTGTTGTAGATGTTGCGTTCTGCGGCAGGAGCCCAAACCATTTCTTTCAGCCACTACTACCGAATGGATAGATAGCAAGGGGCCAGGAGAAGAAACTGGATTGAGCGGCATGGAGCAGTAGAAAGAATAGGATAGGGATGGAGAACAGAGTGGACTGTGGCTCTCTGGGCCCCCCAGCCCGAGGACACCACGGAAGAAGAAGGGAAAGGAATGATAAGCAACCCCGGTGTGATCCGCGTGCATCCGGCTCCGTCCACAGGACAGGTTTCCTTTGAGGTAAACAATGTTTTTCCTCCCCCACCCTTCTGGCCATTTGCAGTATAAAGGGATATGATTGAAAAACCTTTGCTTGCTTTGGATGACAGCATTGGGCTGAGTTTTGACATTTTCATTCTAATCTCTTAAACAGAATTATAAATAAATTTAAACTAAGGAAGGGGAAAAAAGACCATGGAACTAGCTATCATGAAACCTTGGTTGTAGTTACAAATATTCCATTATAGAGCCACGTGGCTTCACACGAGGTCTTTGCTAAATAAAGGGCTATTCCAGATTAGTGTTTGTGGTAGTTACATAATCTGTTGTTAATTTGAGAGTTTTAAGAATGTAGGGGTGGAGTTTAGCCTGTCAATCAGGTCACAGCTTGATGACCTCATTTGGAGATGGTAAGGAGGTAAATAGCTCACTGGAGGCAGGACACACGCTCACTCCCTGGGAGACATTGCTGTTGACAAGCCACATGGAGAGAGGCTGATGGAGCCAGCGCCCTGGAGCTGAGGAGTCATGTGGAGACCCCTCCCAGCGCTGAGATACTTCCACCACCACTGGACCCACAAGACTTTCCACCCACTGGCCTGTGATCTTCCTGCATTTGGCATCATTGCATGTGTTGCGTGAGTCTGAAGAAGAATTTATAGACTGGTAACGGACATATGGGATAATATCAGATTTATGGACTTGACCTGGACTAGGCTTGGATGTTTTCTCAATATTCAATTGCTGTTCTATATAAATCTCTCTCGGATACACATGTGCGTATTTATGAACTTGTTTCTCTAGTCTACCCGGACTAACACAGTGTTATCTAAGGTAAGTCTCTAGGAACAGGAGTTCACTGAAACGTGTATAGCTACTTTGGATGAATATGTTTGGGCAGTGTAAATTAGAAGCTTCAAGATGTTTCCTGACTATAGGATTCCCAGAGCTCTTTCTAGAGCTGGTTAATTAGGATTATGAAATTCTGAGAGAGGGCTCCAGTCATAGTCCCCGAACGACTGTCCGAGCACATAGTGCTTATTGAAGCCATTGAGAGGAACTAGAGACTTCCTTCCCAGGCCTTGTCCTCCTCCACTTCCGCATCCCCGATAAGAAGCTTGAGCAGTGGCAGGCATGTGAGTGTTACCCCCTCAGGTGAAGCCCTTGTTCTTCTCAAACGCCCATTCAGGGAAGAGAAGGGAACAAAGGCAGTAGGTGAAGGGGCATTTAAACAGTAGGGGCGACAACAAAACAAGAATGACACTGGTGTTGTGGCATCAGCTTATCGAGAGGTTGCATCATGTAAGGACAATTGAATTCAACAAGATTCAGAGAGCTATCACTCCAAGTATTCCCAAGGCAAAAGGAAATTACAGATAGAGAAGCAATCCAAGGCTTACAGATGGATGGACGTATTGATAAGGGGCATTACTCAGATGATGAATGCTCTGGGGCAAAGGTGCAAAGATTCTGCGTTTTATCTAGGTCTCTCCTTGTCTGTCTTCTGCTTGTGTTTGACAGCTGCTCTCTGTTCCCATTTTAAATAACGGCAGGATCCATCAAAATATTTTGGAGGGCGGAACATTCTACTCATTTGGGGGATATTTTTAGCCCAGAGTCGTCGAATAATTATCTGTTTTTAAGGTTTCTCTTAAAAACAGGTTTCTCTTTTCGCCCCAGCACTCCTTGACTGGAGAAAGCTAAAGAAAAATCCTGGTAAACACGGTGACTGACTTGAGTGATATGATTTTTTTTCTTTTTAATTGTTTACAGTTGTTTTTTTTAATATTCATGACGTCTGACCAAAAAATAATAGACAAAGCCAAAAATTACTCAGTGGATATGATGATCCACTCCTGGCCTGCCCCCGCCATCCCCTCACACACACACACTCCACACATTGCAAAATTGTTGCTTGGGAACTTGGATGGTTTGTCTTGGTCTTCTCTCTCTCTCTCTTCTACTTGATTCTTTCCTATTGTTTATAATTCTTCATCATGTCAAAGTGCTATCCTGGCCCCCTGTTTTGTCATTTAAATTGTGGTTGTCACCTCCAGCAATTGTAAATTGGGGTGAAAACATGCACATTTTTAACTCTAGCGTCTCTGGAGTCATTATTCTGAGCTCTGGACATGTCTGTGCTTCACCTGTATTCATTCCCAGTCCCCACAACCTTCATCATCACTTGATAGATGAAGGATGGGAGGCACAGAGATGCCAGTCACTGACCCAAAGTCCTGCAACTAGCAAATACTGGCCCTGGAGTTCCAACCCAAACCTGTCGTAGCTCAAAGCCCATGGTGTATACTTGCAACCACTGCCCTAAACCACTCCTCATGCTCAAGCATATGAGATTTTCATCTTTGTACGAGAAGGCTTACGGAAGGCTTCAGTCTTGAGTGAAAGGCGTTGGGATCCAGTCATTGATATTGTCCCCTCCTCGGGGACTTGGGAAACCTGCCTGTGTGAAGCATGCGGAGACCTCAGGTAGAAAGGATGATCATGTTCCTGTAATGGAAAGTCATTTGGAACCTTGAGCTAGCAGGTCAATGGAATTTTCCTCTCCTCTGGTCACGTTTCTTTGGAATCCATGGGAAATTTTAAGTATTTTAAAAGATGTCATGAACGCATAACCCAGGAGAAAAGAACATGAGAAAGTGAAAAAGAAACAATGTTCATTCATTACTTATAACCAAAGAAAAATGACACCGGCCTTTTGGTATACCCACAGGATGATGACACTTCCTAATAGGTGATCGAGTCGCAATTGGACTCACGATGGAGCCAGGTGTTGCAGCTGTCCTCAGACTTTGGAAAGCACTGGGGACAGTCAGAGGATGGATACACAGGGAAAATGCTGAGTCACCCAGGGAAGACAGGCTGCTCATCTTGTAGACAGAACGAAAACCGAACCGAACCAATGGCCGTCAAGTCTACTCTGCATCCTGCTGACTCCATGAGCTCCCGAGTAGACGTGCCCTCCGTCGGGTTTTCAATGGCTGGTCTCTTTTAGACACAGACTGCCAGACTGTCCTCCTGAGGTGCCTCTGGGTGGGCTCAAACCTCTAAATTTTTGATTAGCATAGGCTAGACAACTGAGATTGACAGCTAAGTCACATTACCACCATTTCTGGATGCAATGTCTCCCAGGACAATTGTTTCCACATTTTTGATCATGCATTTGCATTAGTAAAAATAATTTGGATACAATCTCTCAATTTTCAGGAAGTATACCTATCCATTCCCATAGTAAGCTAAACATTAAAAGATAAAACACTTAAGAAAATAATGACTAAACATCTCACCACCCAGAGACTCTGTCATCAAAAGCCAGAGCGGACTTACTTTGAGAAAATGAGTTTTGATCTTCCCGCAGTGTTTGCCCATTTGCTCCTGGACGGGGGAATACAGCAGGTCTTTGGAGGCAATTCGGGCATATGCCACTCTCTTGTTGTTGCTCAGCATCCAAATGAAGACATCGGGGATGGTGTGCTGTGGCTGTGCAAAGAAGGGGAGTGGGATGAGGTGGGTGTTCAACACATGCCCGCCCAGAGCTCTCCTATCCTGAAACAGTCTCTCATCTGCAAAACAAATGCTGTAACTTAAGACACCTAGGTCACTAAGCAAACTAAGTGGGAGGCCTGGAGAAGAGGAAACTTTCTGTCAGGAAACAGTAGGACATGGAGACCCCATGTGCCAAATGACTGGCTGTGGTTTGAGGCGATGTAAGCTGGATCCGAGATCTTGGTGGCCTAATTTTCTCCATCTGTAGAACAAACACCTTTCTACAAGTTTTTTTTTTTAATCTTCCAATTAATGATTTAACTTGAAGAACTATACTTTTTCAGAGCCAGGGAACATTTCCAAAAATTCAGATAAAATAACAAAGAGGAAATTTCAGAAATATCTTTTCATTTATACTTAAAGAATCTCTATAAGAGATTTGAGAGCTAAAATATGATTGCCAAGTGTTTTAGCTCCAATTTAGGTGATGGATCTGTAGAAATTTGACTAAATGGCCTCAAAATGCTAGACTTTAAAGGGAACTAATCAAGGTAGGGATTACAGAATCCCCTGCTAAGTGGCCCATTACATTGTACAGATTTGAAATGTGAAGTTCTAGACCAACATAACTACCAAGGCACAAAAGGAGGTGCATTGTCAAAAAGTAGGCTTATGTCCTTTCTGAACAGATGTTCCTTCTCATCCCCTAACACCAGAGTACAATTGGTATTCAAAAGAGGTAACCTCTTTGTCTTGTTATGGAAATACGCACACTCAGTGGAAATTTTCCTGGTCCACAGAGTCTCTCAGTCACGCACCTACAGTTTCAATAACTACCGGGAACCTTGTGAGTATATATCAAAATCTGTGCATCAACTGTCATGTGGTTTGTTATGCCTCCAGGGAATGAGGGCTACTTGACAAGAAATACAACTTTCAAGGATAACAAAACTGTATTCTACACCTCTCCCCACCAAACCAAAACCAAACTCACTGCCATCAAGTCAATACTGATCCAGTGACTCCCACAGGGGGTTCTGAAACTGTAGTAGTTTGCAGGAGTGGAAAGCCCCATCTTTCTTTCAAGGAGCTGCTGCTGGTTTCAAACTCCTGTCCATGAAGATCTCAGCCCAACTCATAACCACTACAACACCAGGACTCCTATACCACGCAACACCCAATTTCATACTCTTCAATACCTTCTCAGGGGCCAAGCAGAAGTTCTAGTACCTGACAGCTGAACACACAAAGACCCAAAGACAGCACAAGGCACTGTTTACAACTAGCTTTAAAATGAGACGTTATTTTGACCTTTACTGAACGTGAATTGAAATCTTCTGACAGTTGAAAACTGATCAAAGGTACAGTGTGCCTTTGGACTTTTCCTGAATCCACCAGGGAACACGTTTTCTATTTCTGCAGAATACTCACGGTTCAGAAGAAATCAGTAAAGTTGTACATTTGGGGCCACATTGACACTCAACCAGTAGTGCCTGCCCAGCTCAGCTCAGCTTGGAGAGAAAAACCAGGGCTTTCTATCGTTCATCCTAACCAAACATCCAGCCCTTACAGGGACAGTCTAAGGTCTAATCTTCCAAATGACGTTGACCTTTTGAGTCGATTACCTCATCCACAAGAAAGCGGATCTTGTCCACAAAGCCTTGGGCTTGACTGATCATTTCATCGAGGGGCAACTTCTTCTGTTGCTGCTGCTGGACGAGGCCCTGAGCCTCCTTGGTCATTGCCTCCTGAAACAAGGAAAGAGTGAGAACAGGTCTGGCTAGAAATTGGCGGCATTCTCAAAGACAACCAACTGTTTACAATTTGTAAAGAAAACCACACACAAAAATGGTCTTCAAAAGAAAAAGCTAAAGCCTCAATGAAACAAAAAAAGAAAGAAAAGAGGAAAATTACATAAGCATGTGAAGCAGTGATATAAAAACCAAAAAATGCACCCAAAAAAGTATTGACAAAAAAATCTTTAAACAAAAGGAATTCATTACAAAAAAATTATCATGAACGTTGAAACCAATTTCACCATAAAAAACTCAGAAAATGATGGCAAAATCGTACTTCTCATCGAATGTAAATGGATTGAACTCACCAGTTAAGAGACAAAGGCCAACAGAATGGATAATGAAATAAAATAAAATACAAATGGATAATAAAATAACAAGGCTTTAATATGCTGCTTACAAATAACAAACCTTAGCTATAAAGACAAACAGGCTAAAAAATCAATGAACAGAAAAATATCAAGCCAATGGCAGTCAAAAGAAAATAGAAGTAGTAATATTAATCTCTGATAGAATAGACATCAAAGTAACAGCCATACTGAGAGACAAAGAAGGTCATTTTATAATCATGAAAGCTTCCATTCGACAAGAAACTATAACCATAATTTATATGCATGCACCAAATGAAAGATCTTCAAAATATATCATCAAGTTATAGAAAATAATAGACAAATAGGTCATAATATGATATTAGGAGACTTTAACATCACTTCTGAGCAAAGATTGGTCAACTAGAAAGAAATCAATGAGCATACAGAAGAACTGAACAACACAATTAATCGACTAATCTCCTAGACATCTACAGGACACTTCACCCAATGGAAGCGCATTGCAGTGCACCTGGACCAACTCCAGAATAGAGCACCTTTCAGGCCATAGAGCATAGAGCAAGCATCAATGAATTCAAAAACACTGAAATACAGCAAACCATTTTTTGAGATCACAGCGCTCTCAAATTAAACAGTAACCACAGGAAAATCAACCCCCAAAGTCAAATACATGGAAATTAAACATTTCACCTAAAAAACACCGGGTAATTTAAGAAATAAAGAACACAAGAAAATTTCCTTGAAATGAATGAGAATGAAAATACAACATACCAAAGGCTCTGGGATACAACAAAAGCGCTACACAGAAAGCAGTTTATAGCGACACATACATATATCAAAAAGGAAGAGAGAATTAAAAGAAACATTGACTACAACAATTGGAAAGAGACCCAAAAAAACAAACCCTCAAACCTTAGAGAAAAGAAATAATAGTGATTAGAGCAGAAATAAATAAATCAGAAAACCTTAAAACTATATGAAAAATTAAAAAGTCAAGAAGCTAGTTCTTTTAAAAGATTTTAAAAATTGATAAACCAAAGGCAAACCTGACAAAGAAAAAGGAAATATTGTGAATAAGAAATGAAATGGGTGACATTACAATAGAACCCACTGAGATAAAAAGATGACCACACAGATTTATGAAAAGTTGCATCCCAACAAATTTGAAAATCTAGAAGAAAGGAATAAATTTCCTGAATTGCATTACCTCCTAAATGAACACAGACGGAGGTAGAAAATCTCAACATGCTTTCAACACAAGAAGAGACCGATCTGGTCATAAAAGGAAAAAAAAATCCTCCCAACATCAAAAATGTCTGGGACCAGATAGTTTTACCAGGGAATTCTACCAAGTATTAATAGAAGAGTTATTACAAATCCAAAATGAATGCTTTCACAATATACAAATGGACAATATACTACCAAGCTCATTTCATATACTACTCAATTCATTTAAATTATAACCCTGAAACATAAGCCAGGCAAACGCATCACCAAAATTAAAAATTATAGAACAATATCTCCGATGAATACAGAGACCAAATTTTCAACCAAATTCTAGCAACAAAATTCAAAAAAGCATTAATATATATATTATATACATTATTATATGTATTAATATATATAATATATATCATGATCAAGTGGGATTCATATCTGATATGCAAGGAATGTTTAAGATTAGAATAACAATCGATGCAAGTCACCACATAAAACAAAATTAAGGATAACAACATGATGACCATGTCAATTTATGTGGAAAGGACGTTTGATATAATTCAATATCCAATCTTGATAAAAACAGACACCCAAAAAAATAGGAATAGAAGGGAAATTGCTCAGCATCATGAAGGCCATACATGAGAAACCAATGGCTAGCATCTCATTGAAGAGAAATGAAAAACATTCCCACTTTGAATGGAAACTAGGCATGGCTGCCCTTTATCACCCCCTTATTTAATATAGTCCTGGAAGTCTTAGCCAGACCTTTGAGACATCAAAAAATATTAAAGGCATCCACATTGGCACAGAAGAAACAATACTCTCTTAATTGCAAATGATATAATCCTGTATATGGTAAACCCCAAAGATTCCATTTGAAACTCGCTGTAACTAATTGGAAAATTGGCAACATATGGGATCTCCTCCTGTAAAAGACTAAAACAGGACCAATACCTCGCCCCAGGTATAAGAATGAATTCAAGATGGGTTAAAACCAAAATATAAACTCCAGAACCATAAAGACTATTAATTTAAAAAAATAGGGCAAACCTTAAGGGCCCTAATGCAAGGCATAAATACAATACTGAACATAATGAAAAATACCCACACAATAAAAGACAAAATAGAGGACCGGGACCTTCTAAAACTACCACATTTATATACATCAAAAGAGTTAAACGAGAACTCACAGATTGGGGAAAGTATTTAGCAATGATAAATCACATACAGGGCTAATTGGAAAAAATCTATAGAAAACTATGGCACCTGAGTAAGAAAAATACAAATAAGCCAGTCAAAAAATAGGCACAAGACATGAGTACACAATTTCTTAAAAATGACATCCACAAGGCTAACAAGTATACATATTTGAGTCCATTAGCAAAAAAAATACAAATTAAAACAACAACAGCTCAGAGTGTGGCTCGGTCTGGCATTTATAAGGCATTACCCATTCAACAATGATTAAACATCTACCAGGTGCCCCGCACTGAGCAACTATCAGGACACAGAGAAGCATCCAATGCTGCCCTGACCTTAAGAAGTGCATATAAACACGGCTTTTCAACACTTAGATCATTTGCAGTGGTAGGGAAGCCAGGAGAGAGAATAGAGTTATTCTTTTGGCTGATCAGCTTGTAGTACAGTTGGCTGAGGTCTATAGCCAAAAATACACAAGGGGGAAATCATCAGAATAGGAAGTAAGACAGAGGCGTTGCTAGCTCGTTTGTGTTACCATAAAATGACTGAAAGCTCCATTCTCCTTTGCCCCTGTGCTTTCTCTCTCTCTCTTTCAAGTCTCCACATTGTACAACGGCCTGACTTTTAGAGCTCTATCCTCATCTGGTCTCTGGCCTATACTTCATCCACGATGTTTATTTTTAAAGCACTGTTTTAACTCCATTCAGAATATAAATAGATTTTCACATACCAGCTCTTGCCAACAGAGTGTAAGCCGCTTCTTATCTAAAGTAGTCTGGTTCAACATCTTGGGCTTTTTTTCTGCTTCAGAGATAAAGGCACTATAAGAAAAGAATCACAATTTGGAAAGCGACTTAGTAAAACTCCATTTATACAACTCCAGAGCTTTGCAAATCTGTTTTCTGCCATATAACATAAAAGCCGATTAAGTCACAGAACTAAAAATTTAAATGTAGGACTTATACAAGGAGGCACTGGCTTTTCTAAGCAACAGAAGGAGAACCAGAAATGGTGTTCACACTTCACATTAGTTTTGGGGAAGGGATATGGGTTTTTCCACTTTCTTTCAATATGTATACCTTGTAATTGCTGTCAAATGTATTAATAACAGAAACAAAATAAGGTAGTTACTTCATCTTATCAATTTAATACGCACCAGTATTTGCCTTTGCTGCAAAAATATAGCGATGTGGTGGATCATACAGGGGCAAAGTTATAAAAACTTCTTAGATATAACCAAAGACCTTGAAAGAAGGAGTTTCTGGGCCTGGGAGATCAGAATCATAGTCTCAGGGGGCATCAAGGTCAATTAGGATAATACAGTTCATAAAAACAGCCTTCTACATTGTAATTTGGTATCCGCTAAAGTCTTAAAAGCTCATGAACAGTCAGTCATTTGAGGTGAACCTATTTGTCTCTCCCTGTCCAGAGGAAAGAAAATGATGAAAATCAAAAAACATATGGAATCGTTTAGTCCAGTAAGTTAATGGCCCATACAAGTACCAGTCTCCACAACCCTGAGACCAGAAGAATAGGTGGTGTCCGGCTCCTACCACTACCAATTGCTCTGAAAAGTATCCCATTAAAAGGTCATGGGTAGAGTGGGAGGAAATGGTGGACTAAAACCCCAAATCACAAAGGAGACCAGGCTTACTGGTCAGAAAGACATAGGTGGGACTGACAGGCTATGGTTTGAAACTTAACTCACCCCGTGTTAGAATAATCACCCACTTAAGATTTATATGGCAACGTTTACCCAAGGGAAAAGCTCAGAGGGTAGGACTCAAGAGACACAAGGAGGTAGTGGGATAAGGGATGGCACATTGTGGGGATTGCAATGGATGAATCAAAATAACATATATAAACTGTTGAAGGCAAAAGAGCTTGTCTGCTCTGTAAACCTTCACCTAATTCACAATAAAAAGCTTTATAAAGTAATACTCACAAAAAGTTGCATCGAAAATTACATTTAAAAGATTGCAGACTCAATGCTAAGATACTCACTCACTACTGAGTCAACGCTGACCCATAGAGACCCCCAAGGGTTTCCAAGACTGTAACTGTTTACAGGAGTGGAAAGCCCCATCTTTCTCCCTCAGAGCTGCCTGGTGGTTTGGGAACTGTGGACCATGCAAATCATAGCCCACCACGTACCCTCTACACCACCAGGGCTCCTAATGCTACGTAGATTCCTACATTTGAAAAACTATGCAGAAGACTAGGTAGTAGCATTTGGGGGGATAAAGTTTAAAATATGTTCAAAAGGGAAATGGTAAAGATTACTAATGAAATTAAAGAAGAAGAAATATAAACTATCAAAAACTTGAGGAAATAAGATATTGCCCCATTTGTAATAAAAAAATGCAGTTGAAATGCATACCACATTCACCTATCAGTCAAGCAAAAGTTAAAAATTGCAAATATTTAAAGTTGGTGAAGAAGATATGGGGATATCGTCACCCTTCTAAACTATGGTAAAGAGTGTAAGTTCCTTCCATGCTGAGCAGGCTATTTGACAGCACCTATATATACATATTGGACTGCTACCCCTACGGTCAGCAAATCAAAACCACCAGCCGCTCAGCAGGAGAAAGATGAGGCTCTCTACTCCTGTAAAGTGTTACAGTCCTGGAAACCCACAAGGGCAGTTAGTTCTATCCTGTCCTATAGGGTCGCTATGAGTTGGAATTGACTTGACGGCAGTGAGTTTACCTTTTGGTTTTATAAAAATGTAAATGTCTTTATAACCTGATCCAAATATTACTCTAGACTTCTACCCATCAAAAATAACTGAAAAATCTTTCAAGAATATTTCACACAGTAATGCTTATCATAGCACTGTATATAATTGCACAACAGATGGGAACAACTTAAACAGCATTAGAAACTGGCTCACTATATCATAAGGCATTCATGCAGGTCAATATGGAGGGTGGTTGGTATGTAGGGCTGCAGAAAGATGCCGTGATCTATCCTGAAGTAAACAGGAAGCCTGCGGAACAAACCGAGTGGAATGATTTTTGTGGAAAAGAAGTAGAGTGTGTGTATGCATATGTGTGTGTTCACTGTGCATCAGAATACACTCAAAGGCAGTGAGCATTTGTTAAGCCCAGAAAAAGGTTCAGGAGAATAAATCAAACTTTTCTCTTTGGAGAGCCAGGCTGGAGAAAGGGGTGGGGGGGAGAACTAGGACAAACTCGTTTACTCTATATAGTAGTATATGTTTTTTAAAATGAGTATATTACTTTTGTAATGAAAAAGAATAATTACACAGGGAGCCAATCAAAGGTAATGTAACCGAGAGGATTTACTGTAACCCAAATGAAGGTTGAGCATGATAGTGGGACAGGAGGAAAGTAAAAAGAAATAGAGGAAAGAGGTAGGAGGCAAAGGGCGTTTATAGAGGTCTAAATAAAGGCATGTATATATGTAAATGTATATAGATATGAGGATAGGGACATAGATTTATATGCATATATTTATAGGTTTAGTATTTAGGTAGCAGATGGACATTGGACCTCTACTCAAGTACTCCCTCAATGCAAGAATACTTTGTTCTATTAAACTGGCATTCCATGAT